TGTCATTAGCAGAAACCATAATCTCTATCTTTATAAAATCCTAGACAACTTAAGATGGTACTCAGCCCAAGAGCTTCATAGAATCTAAAGCTGAAAGGAGCTAATCATCTTCTACTTAACGAAATTATTTGTACAACATTCTTCAACACTCCCAATGGCTGACAGAATTTGTAGTCTCGGATAACATACTCTCTTCAGAATCCTCAATAATATCCCATATTAAGCAATCTCTTCATTTAGGGTCTCAACTGCCAACACTTCCCAAAGCATGAGTTATGCTCCATATTAAGGATCCGTACTCCCATAACTGGCTCCTGCGAATTTCAGCTTGACACTTTAAGGCCCAGCTGCAGACATTCGTTTATGTCTGGAAAGCATGATAAATATATCTTTGAAAATGATACTCATTGAAGTTGACATTTGCTCCTGAGTTCATTCACAGCTTTGATGTTTCAGATAAACTTGCCAAAGACTGAGTTGTAAGCACACTTTCCAAGCAGGCACGGCAGGCGCTCACAAAAACCCTATCAAGGACATGTAATATGAGTAATGAAAATGCTTGGTCTTTCCATCTCTAGAAATTTATTTTAGCCTTGAGAAGAGGGCAAGGCACAAGAGTGACCTTTCATCGAATTCATATAAGTAGTTTCAGATTCAAAGTCGGGATCAAGTGTAAAAATATGGGTTGTTTTTACAGAAGAGGGAAGAAAAGCTAACAATTGCTAAGGACAAAGGGAAATAACAAGACCGTATAAATACCGTGAAAAATAACACTTGGTATGTGAGAAGAAACTTTAAACTTAAAATTTGAGGTAAGTCCTTTCATTGCTATTAAGGACCTCAACGATAGAGAAACACAATCTATTAATAAATTCAGCCAGGCGCATTGTCTCACGCCTGTAATCCCAGCACTTTGGGAGGCCGAGATGGGCAGATCACTTGAGGTCAGGAGTTCGAGACCAGCCTGGCCAACATGGTGAAACCCCCCCTACTAAACATACAAAATAAATTAACAGGGCATGGTGGCACATGCCTGTAATCCCAGCTACTCAGGAGGCTGAAGCAGGAGAATCACTTGAACCCGGGAGGCGGAGGTTGCAGCAAGCTGAGATTGTGTCACTGCCCCCAGCCTGGGCAATAGACAAGACTCATCCCAAATAAGTAAATAAATAAATATTCAACATAGTTACCAAAAGCCTTATGTTGTTCACTAAATGTTACTCTTTATACATTAAGATAAATGATGACTGGGCCTGGCAGAGTGGCACACTCCTGTAGTCCCAGAGGGTGAGGCAGGATAGCTTGAGCTCAGGAGTTGAGACCAGCTTGGGCAACATAGGGAGGAGACTCCAATTCAAAAAAAGCTCATAATTGCCAACATATTTATATTAAGGGAATGAACCCAAGTCATTATATTTTTAAAAAATGAAGATGAAATTACAGACGCTCCTTGGTTTATAATCGATTTCGCTGAGGGTAGTGCCACAAGTTGAGGTTACTGAATGCTTGTCACTTTCCCACCATGGTCAAAAAATCCTAATAGCGGACCATCTGTACTACCTTTAACAGTGTAACAGAACACTGAATTCGCTTTCCAGCAGAGGCTGACTGTTGAATTATTGGTAAGCTTGGTAAACTTTCAGTCCTTACAACCAATGACATAAATGCTAGACAACTGGGCAAAGTTGGAAAGTTTTCTTCAGCCAAGCTGAACTAACCCAACTGCAGTTCAAAACCGAAGTTTGGTGCCTCATCAGCACCGTGTTCTCACCAACTGAGCTAAAAACAATGGCTTACGTATATACCGAGAATGCAGTTTCTCATCCTTCCCCATGTCTCAAAAGGAAACATGACTGTTTCAAGCCAAGAAAAATATAAAGAACTAAAACCCATCTACAACGGTCCTAGACAAAAAAAACACCCTCAATTAGGGCAGAACGCAAGACTCTCACTTCCCAGTCCATACCCTTTTAGGTACCCCTACGGGAGCACAACAGGCTCTTATTTTTATTAACATTTTAAGTTCACATAAGTTCATGTATCCATTCTTTTGAACAGCTCTAATAACAGCTACTACTCACAAGTGCAAACACTGTCAAAGTACTAGATACTGTGCTAGATACATACATTACGTCAAATTCTAAAAGTAGGCTGCTTTATCCAGAAATACTGAATACAGAAACATAATGAAAAGTGACTTGCCCAGAACCACAAGCCTAGTGAGAGGCGGAGCTGGAAACCAACCCAGGTCTCCTTGGTTCCAAGGCACACGCTCTTTCCACTACATGGCACAGCACTTTCAAAGAATCCTACAACTAGATGTGAAAGGAACCCTGTCAAAATAATGGCTGCCTTTTTAATGAAAATCTACAATGTGCCAGGTGCTTTACATACCTTACCTCATCTTAACACAACCAATCAAGGGAAATGATGGTATTACGCTTTATGGGTAAGGAAATAATAAGAGAAGTCAATTATCTAAGGCCACAGGCTAATAAATACCTAACCTGTGATTTAAACTGATGTCTGCTTAATTCACCAGGAAAAAAGATCAACTGAAAACATCTACAGAAAACCTAGACAAAAATACCACAGGCAATCAGGTTAAATAATAAATAAATATCTAACCTGAGATTTAAACTGAGGTCTGTTTAATTTCAAGTTGGCACTCTTTTGATCATGAGCTCAAAGAAATCAGAATGACCTCTGTGTACTCAATACTTAAGGATGTCACTTCTAGAGGAAACTGCAATGGGCTAAGTATGGCTACAAGCAGCTTAAGAGTGCCACCAGATTCACAGGATTTCAGGACTGGAAAATATCAGAGATCTGAGAGATGTACTTAACCCCATGATTTTGCAGATGAGAAAACTGAAGCTCAGAGAGATTGCAAAACATTCATGTAAAAGGAGGATCTGCAGCACCGGAGACCAGGGCAAGGGCATTCCAGGTGAAGGGTATATTCTGAAGAAAAGCACAGAGGTCAGAATGAGCATGCTTGAACTGTAGCAACACAGATAAAATGTACTATATGAGAAAGAAAAAAAATGAAGAATGCTGTCAAGTTATATGGCCAAAGGACAGTTTCTTTTTAAAAAACAAAAATTTTAAAAAGGTTTTTTAGACGATTTTTCCATTTTAATAGAATTCATATCCCTACTGTCACAGTTATTCCATCCACCTTTATCAAATTCTTGGAATAAGCCTCTGTGCTGTGGCCACATTTTCTTTCAATTTTGTTTGCTGTTAGCACTGTGTCTGTACTAAAGAATGAGAATATGGATTTATCATTTTTTCTTTTTTTTTTTTCCTGAGACAGAGTCTCACTCTGTCGCCCAGGCTGGAGTGCAATGGCACAGTCTCAGCTCACTGCAACCTCCGCCTCCCAAGTTTGAGCAATTCTCTGCCTCAGCCTCCCGAGTAGCTGGGACTACAGGCACACGCCAATACGCCCAGCTAATTTTTTGTATTTTTAGTAGAGACGGGGTTTCGCCATCTTGGCCAGGCTGGTCTCGAACTCCTGACCTCGTGATCCACCTGCCTCAGCCTCCCAAACTGCTGGCACTACAGGCATGAGCCACCGCACCCGGCCCCGGATTTATACATTTTTTTCTAACCAATATCTTCTCACCCAAAACTTATTTTGCTTTGCCTTTTAATTATTTTTCACCCTGAGTGGCATACCGAAGGCCTAATGGCAAGAGTCTTAAAATCTCTGCATAAAACCTACAGTTTACAGTGACTTTTCACGCCACAGAGTAGTAACTGAATCACAATAACTCAAAGAATACAGCCTCAGATAGTTTATTACAAAATGTAGTACTACCATTAATGAGTATGATATAAAGAAATGCTGGTCACAGACCAAAAACTGAGTTCAACAGTCTGAGTTTCTATAAAGAAAAGTTTAATAAATTCTTCTCAAGGTAACAGTTTCAGAGAAAAGTTTTTTAAACATTTTAAATATTTAAGAAGTTTTATTTCCTGGTAACAACTGTCAAAAATAATTTACAAATGTAATTTATTTATGCTGGTTGATAACAGAAAAGAAATATATGAAGTATTATAAAACTTTCTGAAGTCAAAATGGCTTTATTTACTAGGTTCAGGCATCATACGTCCAAAAATGTGAGGCTCCAAGTTCAGGCGCAGCGGAGTGTGTGTTAATGAAGTTAGTGCTGGTATAATGACACGCTAGAGAAAAACCAAGTTTTCAGTTTATGTATCCGGTGCATGCAGAGGGCATTAAAAAAAAGTTCTCGACAACGTTGGTCAGAAATGACTACATTACTTCTACTGATCTGAAAAACTGCAAACCTATCTCAGCCCCTAGCAGACTGGCAGACACTAGTCCTGAAGCAACTGGGCCTAGTCCAAAACTTCGGCGCGGCAGGTCACAGAGGAGGCGCCTGGGAAAGAGGAGATATCAAGTGAAAGTGAAGCAGGGAGAAGCCAAAAGCCACCCCAGGCAGGCCAGAAAAGACTGTGGGGGTGGAAGGGGGGAGATCTCAGGGTATGGGAGTGGGAGGAGAGGATAATATCCGAGGGAGAGCACTAAATAACACAAAGCAAATAAAGGCGTTCCTTAAGATGCCAATTCACCCTGGGAGACAGGGTGTGGGCGGTGGAAAAGCAGGATTTGGGTCCTGAACCCAGGAGGAGACCCATTTCACAGACAGGTACACTGAGGCATGCGTTTCAAATAAAGTCCTGCAGCTAGTGAGCAATACAGTTACGAGTAGACTGTAAGCCCTTGCAGGGTCTAATTCAACCTGGCATCCCCCGCTCGCCCCCAGCAGTGCCTAGCACCTGGCACACAACCAAGAACTATCTCTGAATGAATCTCCCACGTCCTGAAACTCTGGACTTCTTCCCAGACACCTGGGCTTCTGGCCGTGCAACACTGGGGGCCAAGACGGGAGAAACCAGGCTGAGGGGGTCCGGGGAAGATGGGAGTGTGAGTCCGAGCACTGACCCTCCGCCCGTCCACGGGCACTCACCCGGATGCCCTTCACCACCGTGATGTTCTCATTCTCGTCCGCCTCGAAGGTGACTCGGCGGGTGCTGGCGGTCCCACCCATAGCTCCGGTTCCTGCCCCCCCACGGAGACCTAGCGCGGAACCACGAGCACCCCGGGGTCCCCGCGCTCACAAGCGCGTGGAAGGGCCTAGATTCTTTTCCCGCACAGCGGGAGGAAGGCCACGACCCCAGAAGCAAGGAGAAGGCGCCGGTCCTGAGCTCCCGCCTCCTCCGGTCACACGCCACAACAAAAACGCCTCGGGTTGGTCGAAGATGCGAACTGCCCGCCTCTGTTCGGCAGGGACGTCCGGATTGGTTCGCCCAACCCGGATGCTATGGCAACAGGTGGTGTTTGACAAGCTGTCCCCGGAGTCCCTGGGCGTAGTGGGAACTGTGGTCTCTATCTGGCGCAATTAATGCTGGGACATTCTCTACTCGCCCCTGAGCGCGCACAGGGAGCATGGCATTCTGGGAGTTGTAGTCTTGAGTCCCCAGAGACGTCTAACTGGGCAACTTTTTGAAAACGTAATTCTAGAAATTTAGGCCACTGAGCTCAGAGACACAATCTGTCTCTCGAAGGGACCCAGAGTTTAATGAGAAAGATGCATGTTCCTAATGAAGCCGTTCCTAGAGTTCTATACACAAACTCCTGGCTCAAAACTTAGTGTTTCATTACAGTCATGGAGTCACTTAATGAAGACTACTTCTGAGAAATGCCTGGTTAGGTGACTTTGTGGTTGTGCAAACATCGTAGGGTGTACTTACGCAAACCCAGATGGCGTAGCGCGCTACACATCTGGGCCACTGGATATAACCTACTGCTCCTAGGCTACAAAGATGTACAGCATGTTACTGTACTAAATACTGCAGGCAGTTGCAACACAGTGGTATTTGCGTATTCAAATATATCTAAACATAGAAAATATACAGTAACAACAGTATACAAGTACTTGCTTTGACAACACATCTACAACAATTTGAACACTACAGAAATTAGCCTTGCCCCTGCGCGAGGATGACACACAAATTCGTGAAGCATTCTATTAAAAAAAAAAAAAATCAAAGATAAAAAATGATACATTTCTATAGGGCGCTTACCATAAATGGGGCTTTCAGGACTGGAAGTTGCCCTGGGTGAGTCAGTGAATAAGTGCTGAGTTGAATGTGAAGGCCTGGGACATGACTACATGGTACTATGCCTTTTATCAACACTATACACTTAGGCAATGCTAAATTAATTTTCAAATATTTTTATTCTTCAAGAAAAAATTAACCTTAGCTTACTGTAACTTTTAAAATTTATAAACTCATTTTTTTAACTTTTTGACTCTTTAATAACACTTAGCTTAAAACACAAACACACTATATAGTTGTACAAAAATATTTCTTTATATACTTATTCTATAAATTTTTTCTATTTTTAAAATTATTTATTTTTTACTTTTTCAACATTTTTGTTAAAAATTAAGACACAAGCCCAGGCGTGGTGGCTTACGCCTGTAATCCCAGCACTTTGGGAGGCCGAGGCCGGCAGATCACCTGAGATCAGCAGTTCAAGACCAACATGGTGAACTCCCCCTTCCCCCCATCTGTACTAAAAATACAAAAAATTAGCTGGCCATGATGGCAGGCACCTGTAATCCCAGCTACTTGGAAGGCTGAGGCAGGAAAATCATTTGAATCCAGGAGATGAAGGTTGCAGTGAGCAGAGATTGTGTCATTGCACTCCAGCTTGGACAACAAGAGCGAAACTCCGTCTCCAAAAAAAAAAAAATAAGAAATAAAAAATAAGAAACAAACACAGGCATTAGCCTAGACCTACATAGAGACATGATCATCAATATCCCTGTCTTCCGCTTTCACATCTTGTCCCATTGAAAGGTTTTTGGAGGCAGTAACACATAAGGAGCTGTCTCCTATGGTAACAACGCCTTCTGTAATACCTCCTGAAGGACTGCCTGAGGCTGTTTTACAATTAACTTTTTTTAATAAGTAGAAAGAATGCACTTTAACGATAAAAAGCATAGTATAGTAAATATTAGGCGACAGGAATTTTTCAGCTCCATTATAATCTTATGATTCCACCGCCATATATGAGATTCTTCATTGACTGAAACACTGTTATGCAGCACCTGAATGACTGTAGTTTAGTCTTAGCCATAAAAATAAAAGTATGTTTGGTCTACGTCCCTTATCTCATGAACTATGTGTCTGTGATTTTTTTTTCTTTTTGTAAAGTAAAATTGTAAGTACTATGGTTTTCAAACCTGTCTGTGAGAAAATACATTTATTCAGAGAATAAATTTTTTGCACCAAGTGCGCAGAGGATTCACTTTCCACTTTTGTGTCTCCTTCTCTTACTACTTCAGTTACATAAGTTAGGCCATAATAGGGTTAGGCAGAGAAAAGCTAAGTGATGGCCAAAGATGTCATAAATTAGTGGAGGAATTAAAACTAGTCAGAAGTGTTGAGATGATCTATTGTGGAAAGTTTCTATTAATAGTTCAACATTTCACCTCTACAAGACCAGTAAATAGTTTTTAGGTTATCCATGTACATATTTATTTATCGCGAAACACACTGTTACACTAAGTTTAGCCATATGACCTTAGTTTTACAAAGGCAGATGATTCTCAATAGAAATTAGGCTAATGATGGTACTATTCTGCAATTAATCCCTCTCAACATTAAAAGCAACGGGCCCCAACACACCATGCATTCTCTTGTGCCAAAGGCATCTACAATGCAGTCACATTTTTGAGCTTCTATTATGTGCTGATCTATGACTCTATTACGGTATGAATCTTTTGTTTGTTTGTTTGCATTTGAGACAGAGTCTTGCTGTGTCACCAGGCTGAAGCGCAGTGGCGCGGTCTTGGCTCATGCAACTTCTGCCTCCCAAGTTCAAGGGATTCTCCTGCCTCAGCTTCTGGAGTAGCTGGGACTATAGGCGCATACCACCATGCCCAGCTAATATGTTTGTATTTTTAGTAGAGACGTGGTTTCACCATGTTGGCCAGGCTAGTCTCCATCTCCTGACCTCGTGATCCGCCTGCCTCGGCCTCCCAAAGTGCTGGAATTACAGGGGTGAACCACCGCGCCTGCCCTTACTGTATGAATCTTTAGAGCAGAAAGCATATCTTTTTAATCTCTATATGGCTGGTCAGTAGCGGAGTGTTGATTACATCTCATCATTACATTATTTTCAAATTTACTCTGTTACTTTGCAGTTATGAGACTACATGCTACTT